GGAAAAAGAACGATAATGCTAAATACTACCATAATTATGTGACATTACTGGTTATTGTCTTTTAATTTAATTTGTTGTATTTTTTTTATTATTATTATTTTTTTAAGGAAAGTGCATGCAGTGTAAAACACTCAGCTACTATTAAGGGTCATTTTAGAATAATTGGTCAAATCTACTCTTTTAATAATAATAAGATTTGACCGCGCTATCATTTTCATCTTCATCCTTGAGTAGAAGCGAATTTTTGCGAATCCCTTAAGGTATACAACGAAGGTCACCACGAGAGGGAGGGTAGACCATTTTACGGACTGTAAGTGTACGTGTGTGTGTGTGTAACCCTGCCTATCCACTAAAGCCTGCCTTATAATACAATGCTTTCTTCCGTCAGGGTTATGATTAAGGATAGAACTCGCAATACCACGTGACGGGGTACTCACTGCTAGCTAGATAACGGTGATTACCGAGGGCGTGTGACACAAGTGGTTAAGGAACTAATTCGAGCCGTCCCTCTTCCTAAAACAGTCACGTGACTCGAAAGGTTTAAAAAAAATGAAAAGAAACATCGTGTCACCCCACGGATACACCAACAATTGATATTTTAATACAACTCATGTATGAGAAGTTCAGTATTTTCACTCACAGATTCTTATCTTATATTTGAAATTTTAATTAAATTATGAAGAAAAAAATGCCAAAATATGTTTGACTGCCATGTTATTTTTTCCAATCATAAGTTGAAACAAATTTAATATTGTCATGTGATTTGTGTGTTGGAAGGAGATAGGAGTTGTCCGGTTAGAGGTCTTGCAAGCAAGGTATCACATCCGAGACGATGCGGATGGAATAATAAGAAACTCATGCGAAAACAAAAAATTATTAGCACTGACCTTCTTCACCTTTGTTCGACTTGGAGGTTGGAAGTAGAGAGTCGAGTAAGCTGAGCACGAATCGGACGAGTCTATTTTAGCCGCAGGCTACAGAAAAAAGGGTTAGGAAACAGGAAGAAAAGCTATTACTTTCCTGTACGCTATATCTGTCATTCCTCGGTTCATGTCCTCGTGCGTCCTGTCAAAATTTTTTGGCTTCTCCTCGGTGCTTAAGGCAGATAAAACCTGTTTACCACTGGCAGACGGGATTCCTATTTTTTCGTTCTTTCTTTTTTTAATCAAAATCCTTCGTAGTTAAAGAGGAAAAAATGCAGAGAAATCGAAAAGCGCCGTAGTTAACGCTACTCGTTTGGTCTTCCAATCTATTCATCATCGATGCAACTATCTCCAATTCTATACGCAACAGCCCGGGGTAATTACAGAATCAAACAAACATCATCTCTCATCGCCAAGCAGGAATTTTACATAGATTGTCCAGCATCCAGCAAGTCTAACGAATTTTTATTTCTTCTCTTAGTGAATTCCTCCATATTTATTTAACATCTGCACATGAATGGATCAAAGTAAGTTTCAAATGTGTCGCCCCGGGCCGAGACAAACATCAGCTTTGTTTTAATTCCTCTTTGGGAGTTTTCTCTGCAAACAGGTTTTTGGCAGCTTCCCTTTCCCCTCAATCTGCGACTTTATGCTTTTGGAAATGGCAACTGCGGATGAATATTCAATAGTACATTCAATGAGACTTAAACAAATAGTTCCACGCGCTTTCTTTTTGTTCCTAGCGCTATTGATATAGCTCGAGGGGAATTTAACAGTGGTAAACAGTTTACGCACCACACAACCAAGATGGAAGCCATTCAACGGCTGTTCCAATTATCCTCTACCACTCCATTGTATATCCTTGATTTCCATAGTTTAAGCGAGAGAAAGAGAGAAAAGGGTGGAGACTTACCCCGTCCGAATGTCCACTGCACGTACTGATTTACTACTCCGTGCGACACGGCTACAAACGTCTTCTATTATTGGCTAATTACCGGACGGTTGCTGCGGAGATGGAGTTTATTGGAAACTCCTGTCTGAATACAAACGACGTTAGTAAGATCAGGACTCTAAGCTTCAGCCAAGGTACAAGTGGATCGATGCTTTTGCTCGTTTGAGTTACCCAGATAAACGGGCATTTAAATAAATAGCTACTGTATTACGTTTCTACTTAATAGAACAAAGTTATTGTTTCGGGCATAAAAATCAAACGAGTAGAGAGAGTTTGAGTTGGTGTTAGATAGGCTAATTAATTTTTGATGATTTTTTTCTACCTCGAAGAGTCGTGAAAACGCACTTTCGTTAGATAAGGTTGCAGTTACAACGAAGAAAAATGCCGTTAATTTCGCCGTATACTTCATTACCCACCCTCCTACAATCTAGACTAATTCTTGTTAAATTTAAGATCCGAGCTATCTTAAAATGATCTTTAAGCTCTTCGAAAATTATGTTAAACCATTTTTAAATGCTATATTAGTATACATAAAAATAGTTTAAAATAACATTAAACTTATTTTAACGATAAATAAAATAAATTTTAGATTTCACTTGCTAAAAAATCACTACAATTTAATTTAAAAATTGTAGTATTTAACTTAAATTCGATTACCTCTGGGAGATCAAATGCAATACATTAATACATCAAATCAATTTAAAATAATTTAAAAGTGAAGAATACAACGTCCTTAATCATTTTAAAAATAAATTTTAATAATATTAAATATTAAGTAAATAATTGTCTTGCAATAGTGAAGGTTAAATTGTTGTAGAAAGGACGTAAATTACCGAACTTTACAGGGAAATCAAGAAGTGAAGCCGCAAAAAATCAGCGATCTTCTGAGATTAATTTCTAACAAAATATGATACGTTTTTAATGAGAATTGTCGAGATGCTTCAACTGCATTCTTCTCATTCTTAAAATAATCAAAAGCGACTGAAAAATTTCCAAGCTACTCTTTATGTTTAAACTGCAGAAAATATTTTATTTTTCAAACCGAATCAAGGGTTTGCGGATCGATTTTATAATGATTTATAGAAGATAGAACAAAGATATTGAAGAGTAAGAGACTCGATGGCACCGCTGAACATGATGAATGACGGAATGAAACTTTCTCATCCGTCTTTTGTTGGAAGGAAGCTCTAAGACTTCCGCAGTCAATCTTTACCTTTAGCTTATCTTTCGAGCTAAAAATCGGCGTAAGAATTTTGGGTCCAGTTCCGATACGCCACGGTTACGCGTCTATCGTCCCAGATTTTGTAGGTTATTTTCTTAAAGATATTAATTACAACTTCTCCTTGACCCTTGCTACCCGGCTGTCGCCACCAATTGGAGAAGATTTCCATCAAGAATCCATTTATAACTCGGGCCCAAAATAGCCCAAGGCGGCCATCTTCACGCTTAATTAAAAGAGGTCATTTGAATAATTCGGCTCGAAGTGGCACTAGAGGGCACTATTACACACTGACCCGGCCACCTACGTAAAATTCTGGTTTGGACGACCCGTGGCGATAGAATTACGGAGAAAGAACGGTCGTCGGAGGTGTCTGCGTCGAGTGACGCGTGGCAAAAACTCTGAATGCTTAATGACACGTCTTTAACATCTCCCCAATCAGCGGTTCTCCGTGTCAAGCGTGCAGCCTCAAACCCACAGCCCGCCAAATCAGTCATTAGCAGCCTCCGCAGCATCCACGTCGCCATGGAGACCACCAATTAGTGCACCGTAAACATGTGGCCGTGCTACTACGTCATCGATTCGTGTGCTGGCACGCAAACACTCTTTGCCGTCTCTTCTCGTGTTACCGACGGTAACGTAAGACTAATCGTCTCCATCATGATGGCTTCGGATGGTTCTCGGTATCTCACTTATACACTGTATCAACGCCAGCTGTGCCATGGCGTGCGGTCAAACCGAGCAGGCGGGCAGCTCGTTGTCTCTTATTAAATCTTGCAACCAGTCGGCAACCTCCCGATTACTAACTACGATTTGTCAAAATGCACTTTGTCGAATCCCGTTTCACCTGTCGTCATATTTATCCCATTGTAAAAAAACTAGAAGAATAATAAGAAGAAACAACAACCACTATGTTAATGATTTCGGACGCACTTGTTGATATCCGCATTTATCAGTAAATAGAGATTTAACGATTTTTTAAAAGTCGAATTTTATCCATAAAATTCATTAAGGAACTCTCCAATGACGCGATTTGATTTAAGCTCCGATGGGAGGAGAGCCGCTCCACGAGTTCAATTTAGTTGGACTATCGCTATCGCAATTATAATAGTCTCTACCACTTTAGTTCTATCGTGTAACAGGGACGAATATCGCAACTGTTCAAATAAATTATTGAAAGGTAAGGGAGTGCCAACGATTCGCACGCGATCTTTACCGAGTGAAGTAAAAATGGCAAAAATCACTAGCCCGGAGCGTGGAAACGCGGTTACAGAAAAAGAATAATCGCATTGACGGCGATAATGTTTTTTGCTATATTTGCAATATGGCGGACGGTGACGTAAGAGATCTACAAGTTCACCTTGAAGATTGGCGGTGACGTCACCGACCCGCTACCCTAACGTAGCTACTCTGTTTACGTGCGACGGTGTCCTTCGAGCGGTGTTAATATAGACTGCACAACTTTTGGACGACATCCAATGGTTCGTAAACGAGGAAAAGTATCGACCGATAACGAATCGCGCCTGTCAGATCGAAGAAAAAAACACCAGACAATTGTTACACCGACGAAACGCATTAGCGCTAATCGCGTAGTAAAGCGTAGGCCCTCGCTACCGTACACGGCACGAATGTCGTCAACCGCTAGCGATCTTCGAGGCGCGAACGGGACGTACGGACGCCATTTTGAGTCCCGGAACGTCTTCTAGTTGGGACGGCATCTAGAAGTATCCGGCGGAACGGCACGGAACCAAAAAACCTAACGTCCCACACTCACCCGATCGGCCATTTCGGTTGGCGCTGTCTCACGTGATGCGTGCGAAGCGGCGATAGAAGGCAACGCGGCACGCGTATCACGCACGTTCCACCCACACGAGCCGCGCGACGCGTACGTAGCCGCGAGTCTCACCTGAACGGCTGGAAGTGGTGGTGGTGGCCGGTGGTGTCTCAAGGTAGTCGTCGCTTCTCCGTCACGGCTCCCGTCTGCCTAGCCGGGACCCCGTGCCGGGTGTGTCTGGCGCTCGCCCGTTATGTATGCAAAACCGCCGGGACTCTGGCATTCAGTAGTTGAAGAGTATTAGCAATGGTAATGATGACTGTAGTGGCGGCCAGGCTTGCAATGAGTTGCCTGTACCCAGAGGTTCGCAAAGCTGCTAGTGGGAGAGACGAGGCTTTGCACGCAACCTCCGCGATTAATATTTTATAGGGGGGCGAGCTCGGCTCAACGTCCACGCTGAATTATCAACAAAGACGAGGATGGCAAGCCTAAACAGCCAAGTCCGGCTCGTGTATGGGACCGTGTTCGGCATTCTCAATGCGGCAGGACAGCTTCCACTCCTTGTCCGGCAGCACAATGCCCGTTCGCCTTTCTTCCTTGACTTCTCCCCTATTTTCGGGGGGTGCCAAATAGGCTTAGGGGACCGGGGTTCCGTTCGCCTCCGGGCCGGCACGTCCCTCTTCTGTCAACACGTTTCGGACAGTCGAGTTAATGTCACTTTTATGTCCAGAAATCTCCTCCGGTCTCGCACCTCGTTTAACTCGATTTTTTTTAAACCTCCGCCTCATCCCGTAACTGGCTTAACATAATTACGCATCTTCTGATGGATGGCAATTAAAATTAATTTTTTGGTTGCAATCTCTCTGCGTTAAATAATCGATCCGTCCAAATTCGAAAGTCTATAATTCATTCGTTTGAGAAGAAAAAGAGCGGATGCAGTTTCCATAGAAATTAAAAATATTGGCGAAAGGAAAAAAACTTTGGCAGCGTCAAAATTTTGATGTTTTGACGTTATTTATATTCCATATTCTCGGTTGCTAATATCAATTATAATCTAAATACAAACTACATTATGTTAATTTATGCTAATTCGCTTACCAGTGGAGTGATCTTATTCTTGAACAGGAAGTGAACTTCGCTCTTTCCACTTACTTTCGATTCAAAAATGGCACTATTTTCTCATTTTTTAAAAGAGTAAAGGTTTCCAAAGTGCTACTGAATATATTTTCGGTAATAATTTAATTTTTCTAAGTATAAACATCTAAGATTTAAAAAGAAACTGGCTCCATTTATAGTAATAATTTTTAATATTTTTAATATTCGATACGTCGCGATCGATGATGGTTAATTATCTAATTTTGAGTGTGGGTCGTTTCTAATGGAGTAACAAAAGTGCACTAAGTTGCGTTACAGGTGTTTCGAGACTAGATATAAAATTGGAAGGAATAACCCATCAAGGGGATCATAAAACCAACGGAGTATGGACATTTCAACATCGATATTCAATACTTATATGTCTGTAGAAAAGAATTTTGGCAGTTTTTGTAAAAACAAACCATCGTCAGATACAAGTCAGACAATAAAACACATTTTAACAAAAAGTAATAAATTCAAGACCGATTCGCCCTTCTTAAAAACACGAAAGTATCCCGAGTCGCGCACTCACTTCTTGGCTATTGTCGGTCTTTGTAAAATATGGTTCTCTTTGCTACATAAATATCTCTAGACGTCCAGACTTTTTACGGCTATATTTCGTCCTTGTCTTTTTATCAGTGAAATTTATCTGCCGGATCTTATCTGTTCTTCAATTGGCTCGAAGGAGAAAAAAGTGCTAGTAGCCTCAACAAAGAGCGGGATTTCGAATCGCACTGTAGGTGACACCGTCCGATATTCGATCCTCGTTGTAAGTGTTAGTCGAGAGTTTCGTAATACATTGTCTCACAATTTGTCAGCCATTCCGCGATAACACGCCTGACTGCATCATTCTACATCTCCGCCACGCGATCAGATGCATCAGTACCCCGACCCGAGGGTGCTACGAGAGTTAGCAGCAACCCATATAGCAGCCATGCGTGTATAATAAAACACACAATCGATGCCCAGATTTTATGGCCGATCTGCAGCGATGCGCAACGATTGAAGTGCTGAGTGAGATGCAGGGAACCGGCATGACGTCACCGGCTCTTTCATTCCGTCCAATGTCATCCGATGACAACATTTGGGACATTTTAAACAAGCGTAGCCTACAATCGCTTTGCCTAATGAAAAGGCTAACTTTAATACAGAGTAAATGGTAAACGGGTCCGAAAGTCGTTCGAACGCTTCTATATTTCCCTTCATTTTTCTTCTTCAAAAACGGAAGAAGTATTTAAATAAAAAAAAAATAATTAAGATGAAAAATTACGAAAATTTGGGTTTGACTCAGGTAAAAATGTTTAGCACGTAACGTCGGGGTTACAGAACCATGTTTTAGAGTTGACAGAAAATAAATAACATCACCTAAGAAAAACACGAATGGGGCATTTGTGCACGCAGCAGCACGGACGAACTTTAACCCTGGAGAGGTATGTTGAGAAAAAGCTGGAAATACATGTAAAAGACTTCGCGTGTCTCTGCTAGCTCGGTAAATATCGAGTCACGCAAAAACTCGTTAAGGAGGCCCAGTATCTGGCTTCACTGCATTATTTTAATGCATCACAAAGAAACCCATCTACTGTAAAGTTTAATTCCTGACGAATAGACTGTATTAACATTATTGATTGCTTCGCCACCCAATTCAATTTTCAATAAGAGAGTTCGTATGGTCAAAATACATATAGTTACATGCACAATTGAACGTTAATAAATTCCTTATTCGTTTAAATATATGTTTGTGATGTTTATTATTTAATAAAAATTTGCTTAGATAAAATATAGTGTTATTGCTGAAAATAAGAGGCGTATAGAGAAAATCGAGACCGTTGGGTTATTTGAGAGAGGCCTCCTTGATAATCCAAGACCTAGCGTTTGTATTCTCCCACCGTTCAATATTCAGCGAGTAGGCTGCGTATGCAAATGAGAGCGTTGCCACGACAACAGACCCCCAGTTATCAAAGGGACGGTGTTAGATTTAACTGTGTGAGGGTTTATTTTGTAGCAAAATCTGATTGGTACATCCTACCCTCTTGTGTTCCGACCAACAACCCAACCTCGTTACGCTTCCTTGTCTTAAGCGAGAGACGTAGAAAGAGAGTGAGAAGGGGATGTTAGGGTTTTAACATGAAGGTTGCCGGACAGGCCTTTAAAGGGGAAGGATAGGTACGCGTGCACACATACGCATACGCTCACAACACCTCATTTCACTTGTTGAGCACGTCACATCCTGTCACTGATCACTCCTTTCACCTTGTCTGACCCATTCCCACGTCTTGTGACAGCATCGTGTTTCAGAAAGCTTTGTAACCTATTTGAGTACAAGGTTAACTGACTGATTTCCTCTAGCAGATTACAACTTGATGCTTTTCAAATTACTCCATACACGCTGCGCAGAATACATGCGCCCAAGCTGCGATTCGGACGAAATTACCAATAATTGGTATTCCGGTCCTGTTCGGCTTTCCGAGGATCGCGGGTGGCAGCGCCAATAGTGGCGGCAACTATAACTACTGCAACAAAACCCTCATTCGTGACAGAAGGTAAATATTAATATAGATTTTTTTGGTATTCTTTTTCTCGTTCGGAATCTAAAACTGGGAGTGGACCACACGCAAAACTGAACGCCCCTACAACATCCCTCTGCGTTATCCTCTCTTTCTATGTCTAGAATTTTCTCTGGAAGAAATCTTGCGTATTATCTAACCGGTTGATGATTTATTCTATTCCTGAGAGGAGAAAATCTGGCACTTTCAGAATTGATTTATACCGTACTTAGTTTAAGACTTTTCTACAGTTTGGGCGCGCCTTGTCTATAGCCAAGTGCTTCTGGTAGCGGAGAGGGTCCGTTGGGTGGGAGACCCTCTCACCTTATCTCACCAGGACCTACCTTCCGATATCGGTACGTGACCTGATCGATTAATTGATTGATTAGTGCTGGAACAACGCCCAAGTTTGGATGAAAATTAAATTAAGTGAAATTTCTTTGCTCTTTTTTCCCTCTCTCTACCTATCTGATTATCGTGTGTCAATGAAAGCTGAATGAAAGCTTCCTAATTTCGTCGCGAGTATTCGAGTCTGGCCATTTGCTAAGCTTATCCTTTCTAACAGACACAACTGAAGAACGTGAGACGAGTAACAAAAACTCGATTGCACCTCTGTCCGCGGAATTGCCTTCACTTCAGTAATTTTACTTGTAGTTGGGCAGAAAATAATTCTTAAGTTGATTTTAAAAGAGAAGAATGAGAAAGAGATTACGTTTAAACAATGAGTTCGCTTCAAATAATTACGTTCCATAACGATTATAATTGTCATTAATGAACAGAGGGTTTCTTAAGTTAAGATTTTATAATTTTTCATTTCAAATATAACAAATATATACATTATTATTCAAATAAAATTCGTTCGACACCATCTTTACAGTAACTTCAGAAATGTTTAGCCATCAATATTCTTATATCAATGGTTCTCTTCTAGTTTCAGAACATAAAAAATTTCGATTGGAAACATTCCAAGATGTCTTCCTGCCGAGTTTATAACTAGATTCTGTTGTTACATAATCAAACGGCGCTTGTAACTTCCTGCCAACGTCACAAGTGTGAATTTCCATTTAAGCTAGTTGTCTAGAAATAACAGTAATTCTGTTCATCCCACCTCGAGTTGGTTAAAGATTCCGTCCTTCACATTAATGACCTCTGTTACTCCAAACCAGTGTAATTTAGTGCATCTTTAAGTCTCTATAATCATCCTATGTCCGGAGGCAATCTCTTCAGCTGAGAAACCTGTCCGAAGTCCAACCTTGGATGCACTTCTCTCCTTCATTCGATCATAAATAACTTAGTGTTCTTTTCCCCTTCTATATGAAAATATTCACATCTATTAAGACAGTAATTGAGTAGATTAATTTGGAAATAATTTACTGACTTAGCAATGATAAACTACATTTAGACATGACCAACCCCTTTTTTTTCCTTTTTTACTTCAAGATATATTTACTTATATTTGTCTTTCTTAATTTATCTGTTCAATTATTTTTTTCTAATTTGGATTTTTACAGTAAAATGTATTAAGACCGCCGTACGGGATTTTAATTACGATTAAAGTTTAAGAAGTATTTAATGCTATTTTAAGTCAGTGAAAATCGAAGATTTAAAATATTTCAAGCAGATCGTAAATTATAGAATTTTAATTATTTATTCAAAGTATAATTAAATATTTCGGTTAATGCGTCTATTTACTAGAAATAAATCGAATTATTAAATCTACGCACAGATTTATACATATAAAAAGTATAACTACTTTATTGGTGATTAATGATTTAAATTTGTATACATGAACTTTATCAATCGATTATAATTATTTAATTAAATTTAATTTCTTTATATTGAAAATAATCTTTTATTTTGCATAAAATTGTAAACAAACCTCCGATAACAATCTAAAAATTTTGAAAGATTTTGTTTTGAATTATTCTGTAACCACAAAAAATGCTAAAGTTCTCATTAAATTATTGTTTAAGAAAAACTAAGCAATTTTACGAGAAAACTTGCTTTTATTGCTTTTTATAGAAGAGAAGTCGAAGCTAGTTTTAAAACTTAGTATTTTTTTTATTTTTGTCAAGTTTTTTCCGTCTTTCTTGGAGCCACAAGTGCTACATAATCGCATCTAGAATTTTTGTTTGATTAATAAACGCAATGTGGAAGATTTAATTCGCTAGCGAAGAAGAGAAATTTTCGTCCGACCGCATCAAAATTAATTTTCCTCCTGGATAAAACCATCCTTATTCAGAAAGAGTTTTGATAGTGGGAATGTTTATATAAAAACTTTGCATAAATTCCCAATTTCACACCGCTCCTGTGCACTTGGGGACGTTGACTTAGTGTCATCAATCAACAAGGAATGCCAGTCTAGAAAGCCCGGGTGTGGCACCCGACAAATAGGACTATTTGTGCTCAAAGATGGTTATCTGGTTCTAGATTACACGTGGGTGCGGTGACGACAGGGGGTTCCTATCTGTCCTTTGGACACCTGGTTAGTGGGACTAGTTTTTATTACTATGATGTATAACGATATAGAATTTATACTCCTTATAAGGCAAACGAGTTTCGCTTGACTCGTTAGTTGCGATTACTCTGCGTGTTTTTTTGGGACACGTCTCGGAATCGGTGGTGCTGCGAAAGCCCATTACTTACTTCCACCGGTTTGTATATTGGCGCACTAGTGTTTATTGGCAATTTGGGATTTTTAACGTGACGAGTATTTTAATGGAGAACACTTGAAGAATTCGGACCTAGTTGATGGCAGGATTCATTGCTTCTCAGCGGGGTGTGAAGACTCCACCCAAGTCCCACAAATACTTAAAGATGTCACGTGACGGATGTAGTCTCAGGCGCACCCGATATCAGGCGGAGGTCATCTACCTACTTCCAGTCTTTGATACCATCTGTCTCTGCTACCGTACGAAGTTGAATAGTCCAACGATCGAGGGATAACTGCTTTTTTTCTTCTTATCGATATCCTATTAAAATATTCAATATGTAGAAAAAAAATTCGGTGGTTTGTTCGGTTTATTAAATTCTGGACGTACCGTAATCTCGAATCAAAAGTCCATATCTACCACGATTCAGAATCTGTGGCAATTTTGGCGTCGGGCCAAACTAAGCGGAAATTCTGGCCAGCGGAAGTCACGTGCTTCCCCCTGGGGTTGAAATTTGACAAATCGACCGGGCGCGTGGGGTCCAGTTGAGACACGTACGTAAGAGGAAGTGGGAGTACGTGACATCCATAGAATGTTAGCTAGGACCGGAAGCGGCGAGTCCGAATGGCCAGTGGTCTTTCCGGTTTAGATTGGTATCGGAGTTTGGCAGTTAGAACACGGTGTGGGGTTCAGGGGTGGCCACAGGGTCAATGATGCCTTTTATTTTTCGGGCGTAGAGAATAAAACAACTACAATTATCTACGGCTGACTATTAATAAAGTTATTTAAACAATAAATAATTGAGTTTTTTAAACAATTTTTTTTCTGACCTAATATTCATCGTGTGATATAATACTTTATCGTGATAAATTTACATGGAACATTCCTGATGTTTTAGATAACTTCTTTTAACAGTCTAAACACTATAATTTTTTCCGATGTATGCTAGTAGCAGACCACGTTTAAAATTCATTCGAATTTCCAGACTGGATCCTCTCTGCTAACTTATCTTGAAGGTGAGCCTCCCTCTTTCTTAATTTGAATCGACGTGATGACCAAGGCCAGCCAATCGGGTGAAATCCTAATTGAAAACAAGGCACGTTCCGACGCTTCCAAATTTTTGGAAACGTGAGGTCGTCACCTTACTCTTAAATCACGAGCCACTAATTTCCGGCTCCCTGTCTGGCAAGGAAACGATTTCCTCTTATCTTTCTCGTCATCGGTTCTTACTTTCCTTTCTGCACTCACCTTTTTTTTGTGACAAATATTGCTTTTGTCCAACTTCCCGAAATCGCATCATGTTTCTCTGTATACGTCTTTAATTATTTTTACAGAAAAATATTAAATTAAATATAAACATTAAAAACATTCATTTTCAATTATTAGAATGATTTAACTCGTTTTGATTATTAAATGCAGCGAGTTTTAATATCTGGAAAATTGGATATCCAGTACAGAGCCTATAGCAACTTTCGGTTATGCGACTAACAATGATTCAACCTTGCTTTTCCTCTGGCACAGGGAGAAATCATTTCTTAAGCGATTCTCTCCTTCTGATATTTCTCTATTCAATAGCATTGGGTTGAGACGAACAGTCACTTTGACTGAAAACGCCAGACGGCGTCGAAAAGTGGCAGTTGTAGATGGTAAGTTGCATGTACAATAGCGGAAGATGTAGCCAAAGAATCGTTTCATCGATTCTGGAGTGACTTGGAAGACTTTTAAAAACATCTCCACAAAGTGCTGGAAGGGAAGATGTACTTTCACAATCTACATTCACGGGTCGTGGGATGGGGTGTCGACGTCTTAAGACTCTTACTTCCACTCCATTGTGTCTGAGAGAGGAATACAATCTTTTTGCTTTGGTACCCTTCACCACCATTTCAAGAAGAAATCTTTCCTATAAGTTACTTCAAAGTAAATATATATATATATGTTTAAAATCTTATCTATTCTATCTTATCTAAAAATATATTTTAAAAATATTTTTACCTGTGTAATTGAGTTTGTCTGTATGTTAAAGAAAACAAATAATTACAAGTCATTTTAACTATTTATATAATTATTTAATATAAAATAATCTGAAAATGCCTCAAAGTTATTTCCTTTTAATTTTTATATGATTCGAGATTATCTTTATTAAGGTGATTATTCTTCGATAAATAATAAATAGAATTAATCATTAAAATAATAATTCTGAATAAATACAGACAATAAATAACAATTACTTAATAGGATATTTTTATATAAAAATCTAACTTAATTTAAACATAAGATTAACAGTCACATGCAAGAAAATTATTAAATGATCATAATTTCCTGTTAACTGTATAAAAATACTAAAGTTATAAGCAATAATTATATATATTAAGCTACTTATTTTATTAGACAATATGTTAATATCTTCATAAGAGAGTTTAGTTTTGACTCAATAAAATTAACTAAAAATTCAAGTATTTTAATTGCCAATCCTAAGGTAAAAAGAAAAAAAAAACAACTGAATTTAGAAGTCCAGAGAAAAAAAGGAAGTCAAGATGAAATTTTTGAAATGCAATAATTGCTACCTACTGTATGTTTTATTGCTTGACGTGTTATCGATATGAATTGCACAGCGGGTTTCGTGCATTGTATGAATGTCTGAGGCATTGCTATTGAAATAACGATCCTAACATTGCCTATAATTATCTGCTATGTTTCTGAAATCAGGTGGATTGTGATGACAGTAATAAAGGAGTGTTTTAGATATTAAAGTACATTTATAACTCGCCTTTCTGTTTACTGTGACTTGTTTTGTTATTTGTTAGGAGGAATTTAATCATTTATACTGTTAAATATATTTTATTTTTTATTATAAAAATAATAATTGAAAATTTTATTATGTGTTTTATCAATATTTAATAAATTGAAGCATTGTATAATGGTTAGTTGGTAGATGGTGGAACACCTTGGATATTCTTGTTGCTAGTAATGGTCCGGAACACAAGCTAGTCGTTACATGGTGGAAGTTTCATGTAAAGGATGTGGTAGCTACTGTTTGACCCCTATTGACCCTGCCACCTGACCCCGATATGGGGTTCTCTATATACAACACCGGCGAAAGGGATGGAGAACAGATGGGGAAACGACTAGAGAGGTTTTTGTTCTGAAACAAAACTCCGTGTTGGTTCAGTGTCAAGTAGATTTCAAGAATGCTTGAGTGTAGTTGTTATTGGCGCGTATCATTGCTGGCAGCGCTCCATCCATGCCCGAAAGAGCACCCGGACAGGGTCAATTAGCGTGGTAAAATTTTAAAAATCGGTAGGTCTATTAATGAAATTTTGTGCCGAACACCTCCGCCAACTTCATTATTCATTCCCCTTTTAATGAGCGTAGACTCGCCTTACTGTTACCCAGGTAACGTAGGGCACATAAGCCGCGTGGGAAGATCAACAGCTGGGATCTACCACCACGTCGACAGGGGGTGGAAGGCGGGTGGGGCCCACTTATCGTCACGTGACCGGAACCACAGAGGTCGCCATCGCAGATTCGCATCCGGTAGTTTTTAATTAGTCGGAGATGGAGTTAGTATGCGACCTGCTGGGCTAGTTAACAAGGCACCTGGTGTTGCCTTTGCAGATTTCCTTTCGCTCCTTCAAATTGACCGAAGACTCCCTCTAGTGAGGAATTTCCTAACTGTTGATACTAGCAAAACGCAGAAATCAACAGGTGGATGCATTGTACCTTCTGTGCCGAAAGGAAGATACCTATGGGGAGGTTGATTGGCACATTGGTGTCACTCAACTTTTAGACACGCCTTCAATGGGTACCAAGTTAACCCTGTTTCGGAGGTCGATTAAACTGGACTGTCGAGATGTAGATGTCCTCCATTCGCTTCATATTTCATTTTTTTAAACGTGGATTAAGCCACAGATAAATCGTGCAGATAAGAGTAGCCCGAGTCAAATTTAACTTATCCACTTAACCGCTGCCGTATAAGCCTACAAAATAACAAGTAAGTTAAACACTACAGAATCAACAATAGGATTTTTCAAACAATATTGAAATATTAAAAGAATAAAATTGAAAATTTCAACTAACAAACACAGTTTTAAAAAATTAAATATTTCACAATTTTTAAGCACTTTTCCTCTTCCACCGCACTCTTAAAAGATAAAATTAGATTAATAGGGCCTATTCTCTCTGTAGATGTGGCACATGCACATAAACCGGATCCTTAGCCCTATATTTCTTGAAACGATGAATAGACCCAGCTCCAAGTAGGACTATCTTAAAGTAAGTCATGTATGTCTGAGCTACGTGCACGTAGAAATTTGGGTCATAAACATATATTTTGCTATCGATATGTATAATCTAATATTTGATTTTCGAAAATCGGACATCTGTTCAAATCGCTTCCTTTTATGTTCTTATAAATTATTTTTCCTATTATAATTTGATAAACTTTGTTTGTTCAATATACGGAATAGAAGTTAAACGGGGATAATTGAAATTAATAGCAAGAGTTAAGTTATAATAGGGGGAAATAAAGACAATAAAATACAAAATGAAGTTTACAAGTTAAATATGTTAGCCACTTAATGGGAGGTCCGGACCACGTCAGCAAAAGAAAACAAACTTGGATTAGTTTATTGTACCTAAAATCTCCCATCTGTTAGGTTACTGAGCTAGTCAAAACTGTCAGTTAGTGATTCCTAGAGCTATGTAATCATCTCTTTCTAACAACGTCCCCTCCGGCATCTTCCTCCACTCAATAAAAGACTTTGACACGATTCTCTGATTCTGTAATTTCATTCACTCCTCCTTCTATTTTCTCTTACTAGCAACCAACGAGATTGACAATTGTTAAATAACTAAATATGCCTTACTCACGAACGGAAAGTAGAGGGAAAAAATAAACTGAAATATAAAAAATATAGTCAGTTACTTGGGCAAGAATTTTGCTATTAAGTCGGGATACAATTTGTGTTTTTTTGGAGAACGTTCATTGTGAGAGATGTTGGACCACCGCAGGTCTTTCCGAGCTTTTGAATGCAACTACCACATTTCGGAACGCCCGGCACGTCCATCTAGAAATCGGACAATTGGAACAGCGAAAAGGGGATTTAAAAGAAACGTGAAATTGGGATACATTTTTTAAAAATAGCATGAGCAAAAAAAAGAAAAAAATTATATATATATATTCTAGAAGTATCNTTTGCTACGAACGAATTCAACAAAGCATTCACCTTTGAGTCGTGTATAGAATTGTTATTGTAATTTATTGTAAGGGACGAAGAGATGGGAGATTTAATGTAATGCCAAAAACTGCGATGCTTCAGGCTACTCAGGTTAGACTGGGTACATTCTGACCCAGTTCTGTAACCTGACAGGATGGGGTTACCTGATTCTCCTCTTCCTTGTTCGGATGTTGCACGGTTTTTTAAAGAACTGAGCAATTATACAATTATAGAATATAATTTTATCTCAATTTTTATATATTTAATATTATTATAAACGGTTTACGATAGTTTTAACCGCGTAAGGAAAGCTAATGAGCGCGGCAAAAGCAATAAATTTAAGATTCTCTCGATATTTCGTTCGCTAAATTATCTAATTAGAATTAAATGTTTCTGTCAATTCTTTTATTTAAAGTATCGTTCATTAAAGAAATTCGAAGCGAGTAGTTTATTTGCTTGAAAAATCTTCAGGCATCAGAAGTTTTTCATTTACGTAAGAGCTACATGAAAATCTGCATTTGTTTCTGGAAGGAGGATCTTCGCTTCGCCTGCCATCCAATAATAATGAAAATATTTAAACTAGAGAAGAAAGAACTCGTGTTATAATATCAATTTAAAGCCGCGTTATTAACTGGACGAATTCGTAATCTGCATTATTGTTTGTGGCAGATCAATGAAGATTTGGTTCATTGACTACAGATACATGCAGAATACACTTACAGTAACTATTTCGATTCACTAATTTTATATTTTATACAATAAAATATATCTTTCCTTCTAGTTTCTGACCTTATCTATCTTATTCTTTTTTTTTTTTTTAATTTAAGAGAATGTTATTAAAGTTGTTTATTTTGAAGAGAAACCAGATTTATCTGTTCAAATCAGAAATTTTATTCCCAATGAACGGGTTTTTCTGTAGCATTCCAATTAAATGGTATGTCAAGTTTTAAAAAAATTAATGTAAAATATACATACAAACTTGGACTAGGTCTAGAAAAAATTCATATTCTCAATTTTTATATAAATAATTAAAACATTTTTTTTAAATGTAAAAACTTATTTTAGTGAAGATTTTGGATTCTAAATTGGTTGTTTTTGATGAAGATTTAGATTGAATTGTGTTTATTTAAAATTGTATTCGTTTTAAGAGCCGAAATGTATAGAATCACATAGAATTTGATAAGTATTTTAACATAAATGTTCCATTGTTGCGAAGACGGAGACAGAGAGAGGGAGAGGGAGATCGGGATCAGTCTTTTAGACGAAATGTTATCGAGGATCAGTGGGACTCAGAGAATGTCTTAGAACATATCCGTCCGGTAGCGATATGTTTAGTTCTACAGCATACTAGTCTATTAAGGTTCAACATGAGGAACTTCCATTAATCTTGTCGGTTAGAGAGATATGGAGGACGTAGTGAAGGTCGCCGTCTAAAACCGGAATGGCAACTACAGAGTCCTTCCTTGTACGTTGTACGCAAGTTGTTTGGATATTCTATCTATAAATGTTTCCTATGCGATTTTCCTTCTGGTTGTTTGGTTTACAAGGCAGTATTGCATTTTCCCCTTTTATAAAACGTACTGGCATGATTTTGATTGATTGATAAATATTTAGAATTGAAAAAAAACTAAGAAAAAAAACGCTTCAAAAATAGAAATAAACAATTTAAAGCAAAATAGAGTACGTAGAATTACTTTAAAATTATTTTGATCACGATTTCTAAACGCGTTTTTTCCCTTCTTATTTACAAAAACCTGATAAGTTTTTAATCGTCGATAACGATACTTTACGCTTTAATAATAAGAAATAAATCATTTTATTTTCAAAAATCGAATATAAATTTATAGAAAATTAAATCTTTTAACTTGTTGTTATGTGAATTGAGAAAAATGATTAAGTAAATTATAGATTTTAGATTTAGCGAAATATTAAAAGGTAGGAAATTTAAATTATATATGCGCGTGTATGAGTGAATAAAAGAAAAAATTGACTAAATTAGGTTATAATTGGAAAAAAGAAGATTCCGAGATCAAAGAAGAAAAAGTGATTACGCGGAGAAAGTATATCGATCAGAATGGTGTTTCGTAACGCATCTCAGAAAGACGTCAAGAAGCCTACACCGTATTGACTAAGTCTATTTTGTTTCTGATCTGTCCAGGAAATGCTTAGTCACAGTTCAGGATCTGTTTACTTAACTGACATCCTGCACAGATTTGATTTATTTAGTCCAGTTAAGCAGCATGACGAATGGATGCTGTCCGATCGGTGGAATGCCTCCACCACATTTATCACACAATTATTAATAACTGTCTGTAGTTGATAAATGACCAACTATACAAATAATTAAATCGATTTTACTGGATATTTTAACGATAGCGACCTTAAAAATTTGATAAGGTTTAGTTTACGTTAAAGTAATCCGCATCTATGAGCTTGGTATATAGAGATGAGAGTCAGGTAGATCGTTTGTTTCGGCTAATTGCAGATATCGGGAATCCTTGCTCTGCGGTCAGCTAGGAAAATGATAATGGAAGCTAAATGAATGTACGGCATGAACGTTCTAATGGAGCTAGAAGATAATTATCTGGCAATGAATCTATTAAAGAAAACGCTTGCTCTCCACATAGCCGTACATCGGTAAAGCTGTTCAAACCAGGAAATCGTGTCGATAGTTCAAGAATAAAGAAAGGTTAGCTAAAAAAGAAAAAAAAAATAACGTTTACAGTTCAAGGTTAAGATGCGTTCCGTGACTTCCTTTATAGTTGCGTGGTAAAAAATTACCTGGCAATCAAGATTTTTAGCAGATAGAAGCGACAAAAAAGCAACTTTTATGATAAACTCTTTGTTACTGAAATTAATAAGTAGAAGACCCGAGTTAACTTCTTGGCTAGTGATATTATTTTGTGTACTGCACCAGACCGGAACGGAAAAACCATACTAGCGTGACGTCATTCTTCTCCCATCCGCCATTTGTCCGGCAATCACGGCGTGTCCAGTGTGTTTACCTCACAACTCCATTAATCTCGTTACCTATTGGTCCGTAAGGCCATCTTAGTCGTGGATGGGATAACAATCGCTTCGGACAGTTCACTCGGACAGATTTATAACTGGAATTCTCTCTAAGATTTAAGTTGTCCGATCGATCAGAAATAATCCGTTTGATTCGCGGCTATATCGACGGACGTGGCAAATTTGATCTGCCATTAATGTTGATTTATACGTTATCGATATAGAAAAATAATAAGAAAAATATCATCGACTAAAACTTTAACGCAGTTTCTTCCTTTTATTTTAATCTCATTTGAAGATAAATGCTATTTTTTTCCATTATTCATCCACAAATAACTATTTACTTTTCTGCAATTAAAAATGATTTTAGAAAAACAAGTCTTTGGCAAGTGAAAAGCGATTCGTATAAATTATTTACAACTTTCGTGTTTTCTTGCCTTTCGACAATGCAATTAACGCAATATCAATATCTACTTTTAAGATTAAGTTACAATTTTTAATTGTGAAAAATTCTGTAGTTTTATATTTGTTATCTAAATTAAAGCTGTTTAAAATTTAGTGTTCATTATAATTTTCTACGCCCAGTAGAGGTAATAAAAATAACAAATATGTTGAAAACTTTTACAAAACAGTACAAAATGATTAACAATATAAACGAAAGTAGAAAATTTTTGTAATTATTGTTTAGCTAAAGCTTGCATTATCGGTTGTAAAGATTTAGTCCCTCTATATCGATTAAAATACCAGGTTAATAGATCGATTTTTCCAATATAAATAAATATGGTTTAAATTTATAGGCTACTTTTATTATTTTTTTTGAAGCATTTTATGTAGGAAACGGTGCGCTTTTATAATTATTAGGTAGCTAAAGTTTTCAATGCCCATTATAGCGATACACAACCCTTATCCGTGCAGAAACCAGAAGCTTAGAGCCTCCTATTACATTTAATTAAACTCTTTACTGTGGGATCTTGTCGGATATAAACAAATGCCGTTGGAAAAGGCCAGTTGTAAAAGTAGAGATATTTAGTGTTCGGTAACGTCAAGCAATTTTCACCAATCAGAAGTGTCTACTGTGTCCCTGGAGCAGTCGCCTTGGGAGATGTAAGACGAACACTTAATTTCTCTGTAGTTCGTCCCCTCCATTAGAAAGCGATAAATGTGTCCTCTGTTGGACTAACCATGTCACCGACTCTAAATTTACACCACTTCTTGTGACACAACTAGTGGTCACCGGGGAGTAATTCTCTTTCCTGACGGTCTCGTGTTTCTCTTCCGAATGAGATCTGTTTCTAACAACAGAAATCTTTTTCTATATAGAATTTTTGAATTATAAGAAGCTGCAGCGGGTCGGACATTAATTATACTTTCTTAACAATATTGTCGAGAGATTAAAGGTATCATCGAGAGACAACATCGTCGCAGCACCTAGTGCGGGTTTGGCGATTTATAACGTTATATCCTATTTTCGTCATGCTGATGTAGGCCATAATAAAAGTAGGAAAATTTCTGTCCCGTTGAATGAACGACCAAAAAGTGCTTTATCCTCTCCTATTTCCTCACGCTCAATTACGGCGTGGTAAAATTTTGGCCATTGTTAACATCAGATGCGTTGTATTTGCTCGAGATTTGGTCGTTCTTTTGTAAGCATCCAGTACCATCCCTTCGCCTTCTTACGTATTCAGCTCATGCAGAGCAAGGACAACCAAAGTGGTGTCCTCTATCAGGTTTCGTGCCTGGAATTCGTGCGGGATTTGTATCATCGCCGGGTAGAAAAGCTGCTTCTCGAAACGGGAGAATTCTTTACATAGCCCATCCATGTTTCTCTTTCTTATGTGCAAGTTTATCTCCACATTTGTTTCGTTGCAGATCACAAATCGGGACAGATCGAGATGCGGGACTAACGTCTATCGAACTCCGGCTTAACTGCTTTCAGATCTGGAGGATACCCTTACAAGTCATCGGTTAAAGCGTATAGAACCGACATTAGCTGTTATCTGGGAAACAAGGGTGTCTATCTCGCCATGTGAGCCACATCACGCGATTTAACCATTAGCCTATACGGGCTACTGTCCGTTCATTAATGTTTCCACGTTCTTAATGAAATAGGTGACGTCACATTGTCCAGAAACATCATCTGTCGGAACAGACGTTAAGTTGGGAGGATGCTTCACTTGACGAGGGGATTAAAAGGCTAGAACGGTGTAAAAACCTGTAAAATTGTTCGCCATATTAAGAATGTCTATGGTTATCTATAAAGCTCAAATAAGAATTTCAATTAAAAAAATTAATGACATTAAATGAAAAATGCATTAAGATAATTAAATATATGTACTTTATATTTATTATCCTAACATCGACTTATTTAAACAGGAAAGTAGGCCTGTGTGTTTATAAAAATCATGCAAATTATTAGTTGCATTAGCAGTTTTTAAGGATATACACCTCTTTTTTTCTTCCCCTTAGAAGATTTATCCCGCGGCTATTATTCGAAGTCATAGTTCTTAATTGATGGACTGGCCAAAGAATCATTAATTTCAATTATGCCCAGTTGCATCCATTTATTATTCGGCTTGCTTCAGTTTTGAAGATGGTAACATTTTAAAGTGATTTCTCACGCAATGACGGTTAACTATATAGGATACATACTTTATAAATTTGCCTATAGGCATGCTCCTGATAACAATTTTATAGGAAGAAAGCGTCAAAATCCTATGTGATAATCATAGCTTTTGCTTTCTGAACCACTAACAAAAGAAAACAATAGTAACCTATATTTAATCTTGTTTAAATGCAATCAGTTCTGTTTTACTAATAATTATAATTACGGTATGTAATAACGGAGAAAAACGAAAAAAATAACATTCAAAACTGTTAAAATATATTATTATAAAGATCGTTTTAAAATTTTATTTATTAAATTCTAGTAAACCTAATCTCGTTAAGTTCCGTTACAACAATATATGCTAGTTAATTTTATATACAGTACTGAGGATAAAATTATATAAAAATTACAAAACACCAAGTTAAACTCTTTATAGAATTATAATGTTTAGAAAGCAAATTCTCAGTTTGATATATTCTATATATTCAGACATTTTTATATATTTAGGCTATATAAAGATAAGAATATTCATCGCAGTTAACATCTAAGGAGCCTTATACCTCGGGTTTCATGGCGCAAGAACAGAAGTGTGCCAAGATAAATCAATCTAAGTATTTCCATGATTCTTTCTTTCGTCTTTTTCGGGAGCAGTTAAAGTAATGGTCCTTCCATCACTTTCGTGACATTTCTCGTATATCTTTGGGCTTACTCCACAGATGCGGATCTTTTGTTGTAATATTCACATTACACAAACTCCTTACATTTGCAACATCCATATTCTAAACAGTTATATTTCTGACCGCATCCTAATCTATATTATCCTTAATATTCTTATGATAAAGGAGCAATATATTCTTCTGTTAAGTTATACATTTATTCTGCAGCAATTCTTGATTATCCTTATTTCACTTTCGTAATTTTTCTTTACCTAATAGAGTTATCTGTACATATTTAGATAAATAGGTTTATAACCTTAATTTTTTCCATGATAATTTAGAGGGCCTAAAGGTAAAGATCTTTATCTCATTCGATGTAATCTACACATGATAAATGTCCAATTTTTCTGTAAAATTTTATTTACTTTAAAAAAAATATATATATATATATATCCAACTAAACGTGTTACCGTAAATTCTGCAACAAAGTTGATTAATTCATTAATAAATTTCTATATTATACACTATAGAATATTCTTTTAACAAATTGCTTTCACGCATTTTGAAATTTTAATAATTATCATAATTTAATTATTAATAAACTTCATATCGTTGTTGAAAATTATGATTTACAAGGCAGTACTAATTATCTGAATTCATTTATTTTTCTTTTTGTTTCTTTATAAAATATTATTTCTCATATTATTAAACAGAACTTTTGTGATTTATAAACATCTCGGCATTACATTTAGCAATATACAGCGGTAAGATATTAAAATGTAATTAATTATTTATATTTAAATAACGTTTATTTTCATAATTATGTTTTAAACGAACTTATCAAGCTGTAAAACAGAGAAGAAAATGTACACGAAACAAAATCACTTGACAAACTTGCTAAGTCCTTAAAAAATTATACAAAAAATGTATTTTTTATGTAAAAAATTTAAAAAAAATTAACTATATTTCTATCAGTTCATACATTAATAAAGCGTAGATCCACATTTAAGATGAGAAAAAAAATAAATAAACCAATAACATTACTTCTCTAAACGTTTTTAGATGATATTTTTGTTTTTATATGACATAATTCCAGTAGCAAGTTCAAAAGTAAATTTTAAATATATTAAAAAACGATAAATATATCGATAAACATCTGTTAGTTTATTAATTGTAACCGTTATTAGCCGAACAATTTATCTCTAGATAAATCAAACTTACTTGAATATGATTAACGTCATTTCTAACGGAAAAAAATAATTGATATGATTTATAAACCATTTTTTTCTTCTTTAATTTTAAATTGTGAAATTTATAAAGATAAATCTCCTACTTCTGTAACGATAAAGATCGTTCAGTAATGCGCTCTTTCAATGACTTGGTCTCATTTCTTTATACATTAAGCTAGCCTACTTTTCTGACTGAAGATAAGTTTATGATTTTTGATTTTATTAACTAGCCCCAAGCTATAATATGAATTTAATTCAAAAATTTTCTTCATTTTCATTATTAAAATTCTTAAATACAAATGTTTTTTTTTTTTTTATTGTTTACAATTGGTGCATTTGTTAATTTATAATGTTTTTATAGAAATATAATAAATGGGTTTTTAAATTAAGCAAAATAGTTAACGTCTATTAATTTGATAAAGCGTAAAATAAAAGCGCATATATTGTCTTGAAGAAGATAGAAAAATTTCGTACATATAAAATTTTATTTTAATAAAAATTTACGGTTTAAAATTTAATAAGAAAAAAGTAAATCGCGAGAACTTAGTTTATGTAAAAGGCTAACGAAATTTAAAAATGGTTCAATTGAAATGATGCAATTGATAAAATAAAAGAAGGGAAGTGGGAGAGAGAAAGAGAACGAAGAAAGAAAAAATTCGAAAGCGCTTGAAAATAGAATAACCAACGTAAAGATTTTCAGACGCTCTGTACAAATCCAGAATTTATGCATAAATGAAAAAATAAATAAATAATATTAAATATAAAAATTTATTATATAATACGTCTAGAACGTTTTCTGTATTTTTAAAAGATCAAAAAAAGGTTAAGTTGGACGATTGTTTTGTCGGATCGGCTCCTGTAGAAAGTTTCCCATGCATACAAAAATTCCGATTCATTGCCGAAGAGAGCCATTTTTTGACTGGAGGCTTTTCATCCAGACCCTGTAATTTATTTGTATACACTGTTTTTAGCAAGATGCCAACCAACTGTTTGGCATACACTCGCTCTATACTGTATTCAACATAACTTTGTAGGGTGGGGTCCTAATCTGTTGGGTGGGACAAAACTAAACTGAGATGGTGACGTCACTGACAGACCACCCTATTGGTAAGCTGGCTTTTATGTCTTCCTTCTTTTATTGCGTTGTTTTAGTATTGTAAGTTTAAATATTAATCACGCTCATTAAGGTGTGGTGATAACTAAGATATATATGTTTATACTTAATTTTATAATAAAGATTCGTGTAAATAATTTTTAAAAAGACTAGTCTGACGATTTGGAAATATTATTTTATTATTTCATCAGAAAAAATATCAAATTTTCCTTGTAAATAATCAGAGAGATGAAATTAATAGTTCCGAGTCTAATACTTTATAAAATTCGGTAACTTTTGCTGGAAATTACCGAGAAATTCTAAAAATTAATGACTAAAATATGGATACTTGAGTTAATTTACAAATTCCGTTTATTTAAAGACACAAAATTACAATTTTCCAAAATTCTTTGCAGCTTGTAATCAATTTAAGTGAATAGAATAAGATGCAGCTTAAGTCATGACGCATTTTTTATTAAAAAAAATAATAATAATAAAAAGAAAATAAACTGAATAAATTCAGAATGTATATTAATAAACAATATCGTAAGCTCAGAAGAAAACTCTACGTAGATCGAATTTACATAAGTCTGTCTACAAGAGATTCTGAAAGTTTTTCAATATTGTAAAAATGTTTTTAAATAATAATTTGTAGAATTCATTAAATTTATGCAGAAACATTTAAAAATATAAATTTCGTATTCATGTTCTTATAAGTTCTTTGATTCGTAGCTCAATATCTAATTTAATAGCAGAGATTTTGCCTTAATTGGCGCAATTACACAAATAAAAAACCGTTTATACCATTACCAAGGATTAAAAAAATTATTTTAAATAATTATATAATTTCATAAATTATAAATAAAAAATAATATAAACCTATTAATTACAAATTACGTTATTTAATTCAGTGTTATAAACATAGTCTATGGATTGGTGCTTGTAAGTTGATTTTATTTACGAAACTGACATATTTATAACTAATTTTCACACTATTCTTATATATTTTTTCGTTGGGCCTGCATTTATATTAATTCTAAACTCTCTTTTTTTCAAGCGCAAGATAAAATTTTATTTAAAAAAAACATTTATAATTTGTTTTATATTTTAAGGCTATATTAAACGACTGATGAAAATTTTCGTTTTCAGACACAAGATTTAGGCCCATGGGCTCGTCACTTAAATTAAAGAGATGAAAATAAGAAAATGGCTTATTCCATTTTTAGTGTATAGATATTAATCTTTTCAAATAGAATAATTTAAAATTGAAACACGATTTTTGGCTATTAATCTTATCCAACAGTTTTACCACTTACCTAGCACAGGTTTCCATTAAGTTTGGCTTAACCGAAGCTTAACCAAGGGAAGCAAAATCATCTTTTGGACTTATTGCACTCGTGCAAACATTCTTATCTGGGGCTTAAAATATGAAATAAGGCATATACATAATCTTATAAAGCGATAATCAATACGGGTGCACTGTCCTTTCCCGATGCATGGGCTCTATGGCTTATTCTGAATAATGGCAAATAATATTGACAATCACTATTATTGGTCGAGTTGAAGTCATAAATTTGCATATAATGGATATATGACCCAACTGATCATTCTCGTATTAAACTCTTACCGGGTCTATTACCTCATTCGTTGATAAATTTTGGCACCGGAGAAGTGGAAGAACCATAAGTAAGCTCTTTTGTTAATTTATTATATAAATTGTTTAATTTAAAGACTATATTTTCGTAATATTTTAAATCAGAGATAGTTTATTAAACTCGGTTATGAAGCTTACCATTGGAAGCAAATTAATAACAACTCTCTTTTCGATTTTAGAATAGCGTTTGCAACACTTCTGCATAGTTCAACATCAGCTGTGCTCTGATAGTCTAATAACAGAATAATATTGATAAATAAAGTATTTTAAGATGCAGAAATCGTTACATGGTTAATGAGCATTGTGACAGC